CAAAAACTTGGGCAGCAATGCCATCCTTTGGATTCAAAGAGGAAAGGAATTTATGTTGGAGTATATAATATTGGTTCTGCGTCAATTTACACTGACATCAGATAAAACTTCCACCTCCCACCAATCCATTTACTTTTCAAATGTTCTTTGTTTTAATTAAAAAATAAAACCATGACTATACCCCATGAGATCGATCCTCTTCCTCTGTCGGTGTCTTCCCTCCAAGAGACGACACTTCTCCGGTTATACAAAGCCTCTGGGAAATCTTAACCACTTTTGGAATAATTTTTACACTTGCTTTGGGAATATCCCTATATTTATATATTTTATTTTATGGAAAAATATTTACAATGTAAGATTGCAAGAGCTATTTACAGGGTGTAAAAATTCTCCTATGGACTACTTACCATTTGAACGATATAGTAGTTGTAATAGTAGTAAAAGTTCTCTCGGAAAAATTAGAAGAAAGTAGAGAGAGAGAACATACCGGAGCAACGATTCCCGCTCTTTCCATCCTCACAAAAGCAGAAGAAGTCCGTTGTAGAATTGGAAGAGTAAGCACAATAGCCACCAGATTCCTCACACCCAACGCAATCTCCAATGCCTCCCCAATCTAACTCAAACCCGTTCCTTAAGGCCCCCGCAAACCCATCCGTCCTACTGAAAACATTCGTAATCGCTTCCTCCATGACCGTGGTAACCACTTTTGCCTCGCAGTCCCTATGCCAATCAAGCCCCTCCGGAATCTTGTCTGTCTCGAAAACCAAGGTCTGGTTCCCGCCGGATGCAAGGCAGGATAAATTCGTGTATTTAGTTGAGACTAGAACTGAAGGGTAGTCAGAACTGAGATAAAGAAAAAAGTGGGTGGAGCAATCAAAGAAAAACGTCAGGTTTTTAGTGGAGTCACTGGAGCGTAATTGAGGTGCGCTGGTGAGGGTGACATTATGCTTTGCCCTTGGACATATTGCATTACCGGTAAGTACGTCGGCGTCGATCAGGGAGAGGGTCTTTGTTTCATAATTGATGCCGGCGACGTTGTAGGTATCTGTGGACACCTTGAGTGTGGTTTTGTTGTCATCTGAGCAGGACAGCCCGAAGCTCGGGTAGCCACAGTGTGGATTTGGAGTCGAACTGCCGTTATACCAGAAAGGGTATTTAATGAGAACGCCGCCGCAGACGTATGAAGGACAGATATCCGAAGTTGATTTAGTTTCGATAATCGCTGATCTGGTTTGGGAGAAGAGGAGGCTGAGGGACAGCAAGGCTAGGAGAAAGAGGTGAAGATGGAGAGTTTCCTGCCGAGACATTTGGTGGACGAGATATCCAGAGGATGGAGACGCCGGCTCCTTTATGGTCCGAATTAAGAGAAAATAATATCTCCGAGAGAGAAAACACGGTGTTGACTTTTTTTTTTTTTTGTTGGTAACATTGATTTAGTCAAAATTTTTAAGGAAATTAAACATTGGGGTGTGAGTTGGAGACATCCCAATTTTTATTAATGGAGAGCCGCTTTTATTTAGAATGTGAGCTTCCTAAATCAACATACTGATCTGGATTATGGACTTTGCCGCAGGCTTCCAAACCATTGGTTGAGCTGAAATTTATGCGTCTCTGAATCTGTGAATGGTTTCAGCATGCGAAGAATATTCTTCAGCTCCGTTAACGTATATCTCCGTTAGTTGAAGTCAAGTAAAATGAATATTTTACTCCTCTCCTTCTCTCCTTTTTTTGTCATAGATGAGACATCTCTCCTCCCACTTTCTCTCTCCATCCGCCCGGCAGCAATTTTATAACTATCACCACAGTGACTTCAAAAGCAAAAAATCATTCCCTGTAAATAAAACTTTAGTATATGCTGAATGAATATTGATGGTGTGCGATCTAGATACTTCTAGTTGAAATGCGATCCGAATTCCAATCGGGTGGTGAGCTGGACCGATCTGCAAAATAGTGGATCAGAGAACATAGGGTAGCTAATCCAGCAAGGTCGCTCCGATGCTTAAATCAGTACTTATGCTGTAAATGTGAGCTGAATGCTTGAGAACTTGAGTGCTAGTGAATAGAACAATCACACATACCTTTGCCTTAAGGTTTCATGTCTTTATATACTAGAGTAGTCATGGGCCTTACGAAAGATCTCCGAGATCTCCAGGCTATGTAGATAAGTTTTGTTCCGTTTTTTAAGGAGAGCAGTATGTTGATAAGGTTTATCGTTTTACCTCCGATTCAGGCAGAGGTAGGATGAGTCTTATCGTTAGTGAATAGAATAATCACTAGCACTCAAGCTCTCAAGCATTCAGCTCGCATTCACAGCATAAGTACTGACTTAAGCATCGGAGCGACCTTGCCGGGCTAGCTAACCCGGGTTCTCTGATCCACTGTTTTGCAGATCGGTCCAGCTCACCTTCCGGTTGGAGTTCGGATCACCTTCTAGCTAGGAGTATCTAGATCGTGCACCATCAAATATCACCTACATTAAGCGTATCCATAACATTGCTCCAAGAAGCCCAGATTGGGTCCCGGTCTTGCTCCATAATCTCATTGCCCAAAGCTTCAGTAGTTAATTTAGGAATAGAAACTCTTGCAACAACTCATGATGTTTCATTATCTTCCCCAGCTACTCGAATTGCTTCCAGAGTGGCTTCATCTTTTAATGCTTGCCAGACACTTCTTGTGTTAACAACCTGATCACTGTCATGTTCTTCTCTAGATGACCTATCATCACCACCTAGAGCTCTTCTAGAACTGATATGCCCATTTCCTGAAGAAACATATGCATAAGAACGCCATGCATCAAATACATCACATCTCCGAGATGAGTCCCTTCCCCTCACTCCTGAAACACCACAATCAGGTAAAAGGGACCTCTCTGCAAATGGAACCCATCCTTTGCCACCCCTGCCCAACTTGCTACTAGAGTAATCAGAGAGCCCATATTACTTGCCAACCAATCTGGCGAGGATCCTTCATAACCCACCATAAAAGTACTACCTTTCCTTCCTGATGACACCGTCAGGTCCTGCGCCATGTCTTTAACAATTCTCTCAAAACCCCTCACTCTGTTCTCTAGAGTAACCATGTTGTCATGGGACCTGCCCATGAAATCCTACAATATGGAAATATTTTAGTGAATATTGAAGACCAGTTCGAAAAAGCATTTTTCAAACATAACTTACTCAACCAACCTATAACATGTTTAATGAGATGAACTTATTGCCTCTCTAGTTATGTCAACTGTCTTTGGATAGCTAACTAGTTTTCTTTGTTTGTCGCCATCGGTAATGGTTGTAAAATTGCCGTCGGACGGATAGGAAGAGAGGGGGAGGAGAAATGTCTTGTCTCGACAGGAGAGGTGAGTAGAGGAGAAAAGAGGAGAGGAAGAGTGTTTTACTTAACTTAAACTAATGCGATGCACACTTAGGAGCTGAAGAATCCTCGCATTCTTAAGCCATTCACACGATTTGGTGCCTTGACCAACGAAAATTTCATGGATGACACATCATTTCTTCTTTTTTATTTTTTCAATGAGGACGGATTGACAGCCAGCAGGAGAACAGACGACAGGCAGAAGGCCCAACCTAAAAAGTCATCAAGAGAATTGGATATTCCAAGTAGGTTGTCCCTAGAATATATATAGCCATGTAATTGATTTGACTTTATTGTATGAAAACGATATTGGAAAGGGATTCTAGCCGATAAGGGTAGCTTTTCGGCCCTTAATATCAATAAAAGAAACATACTTCATATAATAATTAAAAGAGGGCAACATTTTTAAGAAATATAAAAAAGAGCAGTTGTATACGAAAGGAGAGCATCGTATGAGATACAATTCGTATCTCCTTTTTTATGACAAAATTGCCCCTTATTAATTTCGAACAAAATCTTCCCCTCCTGTGTGGGAATGGTTTTTTCTCTCTCGAGAATCCATCTCTTCCCTACTCTGTAATCACTCAAATCTCTCTACATCTCTCATTCTCTCGAGTCTCCAATCTTCTCTCCTCTGTAATCACTCGACTCTCCCTCCATCGCTCTCAATTCATGAGAGTGAATCTCTGCTTCTCTTTGCGTCTTTTAGTTCTTAATCGCTCGTTCGAGTGAACGTCTGCACACTTGGGTTCTCTGCTCGGGAGTTTCTCTTCACCTCTGCCTGGTAAGATATTTATTTATTCTCTTTTATCAGTTTCTTTTTTCTGCCTCACTTCGCTACTTTTCAAGGTTTATTTGCCTTGCTTTCAACTGCTAGGGTTTTTCCATTCCAATGTATTCAGTAATAATGGTTAAAATAATCGTGAACAGGTCTAGGAATTGTTTACGTTAAAGACTCAAGAGGTTGTTTGTTCCTTTATTTTTTTTCATCTCTTAGGAGATTGAAAACTCTACGAAATATAATGATATTTCACTGCCTTATTCTTTTATTTGGATCTCCATTATTTAGTTTCAAATGGGTTTACTTTTGAAATTACTGTACATATAATACTACATAAAACTATATATACACAATCGATGAGATCATTCTATTCCCTTTCCTTAATTAGGTTTTATGCCAATTGGGTTTTCTTTAAATTAAATTGCCTCCTTTCCTTCTCCTTTCTAACTTGGAAGTTATACAGTGATACTTGTAAGACTAAAACAAGATGGCAAATATTTAGGAAAAAGAAAAAAAAAAGAGATTCACAAGATGTAAGTCTTCTCTTCTAAAGTTCGACCCCAAGCGCTTTATCATCAGAATTACCGATAGTGGTAGCTTTGTAGCTCTACACATTAGTTTGGTTATGTTTGCTACATATAAATCAACTAGCACTCTTCAAATGTTTATAATAATGGTGATAATAATTCTTACAAATTGTTGCGTAGAGGTACAACCGAGTACCAAGAAATAGCTCTTTTAGACACAAAGCACTTCGGGAAGGTAACTATGTTTTTCTTCTAACCTTCTATCGAGACATCTGTTTCAATAACATCTCTCTTTCACAGCTAGGGATAATCATATAATTTATTTTTTGAGTTCTTCAAGAATGTTGATTTCTCTATTTTTCTCACAATTGGGGTTATTTTTTTTTAAGTTCTTCAATAATGTCAACATCTCTATTTTTCTCACAGCTAGGGCTAATCATATAATTTATTTTTTGAGTTCTTCAAGAATGTCGATATCTCTATTTTTCTCACAGCTAGGGATAATGATATATTTTATTTTTGGAGTGTTCAAGAATGTCGAATACTTTTAGTTATTTCTCTAAAATCATTCACAACTTTTCGGGTGTTTTGATAAAACTATTGGGAGAAATAGTGAATAAGTTGCTTTGGAGGGGAGGGATTGTTTAGTTCTCATAGTTTAGGAAGCCTAACATGATGTGGTGCATAGATTTCAGATGGCGAAAAGAATATTTTGATGGGAGCGCTATTGACATTAGGATACATTAAAAGTGATGATAGGATAACCAATTAACCATCAATGTTGTCAATGTTATCTATCAAAAAAATGTTGCCAATGTTGATTGGGAGAGGAAGTAAATAGTGGTTACTAAAAAACCACAAAGGGATTGGAGGAGAATTGCAGATGGTGTGATAAAAGGCATAAGGTTGAAATCCACCATGATATTAGCCCTTTTTGAGAAGTGGCTAATATTAAATCCTTTTGGGTTTGGTAACTTTCATTCCATTGCTTCCTATATGCAAGGCGTAAAAAGTGGTTTCTTCATGAAAGTCTTGCACAAGCTAACAAGGAGAGAGATTTGGGTACTTGCAAGGCTTAATTGGATGGTTTCTTCATGAAAGTCTTGCACTCACTAACAAGGAGAGAGATTTGGCTACCAACAGGGCTTAATTGGATGGTTTCTTCGTGAAAGTCTTGCACTCACTAACAANACTCACTAACAAGGAGAGAGATTTGGCTACCAACAGGGCTTAATTGGATGGTTTCTTCGTGAAAGTCTTGCACTCACTAACAAGGAGAGAGATTTAGCTACCGTTTGTGATCGTATTCTTAAGAGAAACTAGGTCAATGCCCTAGGTTTGTTTTCATAGTTTTTCATTAATGATATAGGGAGGAATTGGTCATTAGTTGCAAAAAGCTCTACTTTGAGGGATAAATATATAGTATATTGGAGGTCCCATGAAGAAGGTTTTACCAAGTTAAACCTTGATAGATGCAACTTAGTCAATCTGGAGCCATTTGATATTGGCTTGTGTTTATAAATGCAGGTTTGATTCTTGCTTTACCCTCGGCCCCCCTTGCAGTGAGGGAAGTTGTTAATATCAAAGTCCATACATTCAAAATAGGGGCAAAAGTTTCTATAGAGATAGGTTTTAATGTAATACTAATTGTTGCAGACAAAACCAATAGGAGTAGGGAGAAATGTAAAGACTTCACAAGCTTTTCATTTGAAGGAGGTCATAGGTGCATATTCTCTATAAACAAGCTTCGCATAAAAAACCAATTT